GAACGAGATTCATGGTGGTGACCATGACTGAGTTCACGTAACTTGTGTGCACAAGCAGAGCTTACGGTGTCAACTTTTGGTAGCTTCAGCCATGACTCTCAGTACTACCAAGCACCACAAACCAAGTGCTGAGGTTGCCAAATCTGTATTTGGGTGGATTTGGATAGAGTGGGGAGCGGTTGGCAGATTTTAATTGCTGTCCACACTCGGAGGATTCACCACGTCTGATTGTCCTGGTGACCATCATCACCAGAACTGGAGGCGAGGGGAAAATCCAAAATTTTGAGTGGTCGCCGGAACAGGAAAAGAGGGGAAATCCTCCAATAGGGGCAACTGAGGATTTCACTCACTTTACTGAGACAACCTCTCACTTCCCATCATGCCTACAGGATAGGAAATGAGGGGGAAACTATGGTCATTACCAGAACTCTATCTGAAACAGAAAAAAACAAGTTCTGGTTTTAGATAGACTTGAATGTGGTCTTCATAGTGAGGGACACATCACTGGAGGTACAAGGGAGGGGTTGGTATATAAAATGGTGCAAGATGGACATGTTTTCTTGACCTATGATCTCTCGAATACCTGGAAGCCACCACAAGAAGGCCACTATTCTACCAAAGAGGAGAGGTCCACTACTGCTCACTCCTACGGACATTCTGAATAAGAAATTGTCTTATTTACTGGATTGGACCAACTCTGGAGTCCCGAAGGACCAGGAGATAGAGATAGAAGGGGCCGTCTTGGAAGGTATAATGCAGATGGATATATACACAGTGTAGATGCTACAACGTAGATGGACATTGCCATCAGAGGATCTGACTGAGACACACTGACCCAAACTTGCACCCTTGTATAGTTATGAATGGACACGTCCGGGTCGGTGTGTAGCCACGTCGTGTCATTGAGTTGTACAATCGACTACACCCACCAGCTGTCCCTCCCAGACGCAGGTATCTACAAAGACGTGCACGCTGTACAAATCCGGGTCAATGAAGCCTTCCAGGCAAAAATAAAAGGCACACAAATTTATAAAAAGGAAAAACAAGCTATTCGTGTTTTAAATCTAGAGCACAGCCCTCCAGCTGTGGCTGAACTACAAATCCCATGAGGCATTGCAAGATTCTCACAGCCACGACTCCCAGAGATGCATTATGGGACTTGTAGTAGCACCACAGCTGGAGGGCTGGAATTTGGCTACTTCTTGCTCTAGAGCAGGGATGGTCAAACTCCGGCCCTCCAGCTGTGGGGTGAAACAACAAATCCCATGATGCATCTCTCTCTGGGAGTCATGTCTGTGGCTGTGAGAATCTTGCAATGCCTCATGGGATTTGTAGTTTCACCACAGCAGGAGGGCCACAGTTTGGCCATCCCTGCTCTAGAGGAGAGATCTAGGTTTACCCCCTGCATGGTTACATTCACTTACTGTTGACTGAAACTTTGCCTCTGCCGGAAGTCAGCTCCAACCATCGACTACTCTTTCGGTAAAAATTACTTTGTAGAATGACCCTTGAACCTTCCTCCTGCTAGTTTGAGATCAGACCTCTTATCTTGATCTGAGCTTTATATTGAAAATACCGCCCTCCCGAACCTTAATCACCTCCTTCAGGCCCCATTCACACGGAGCGGATTGCCGCACGATATCGCGAGAAGTGGCCGGCCAATGATTTTCAATGGAGCTGTCTTAATGTACAGCTCCATGTCGCTGGTCGCAAGTCGCGCCTGCAGGACCCTTTTTTCCGGCGGATTTTGCGTGATTTTTCTAATGCAGCCCGAAGGTGAAGGTCGCGCTACCGTCGCCCCGAACATTCGCGCTATCCCGGCCATGTGGATCCGCTTCTAAAGGTATGTCGCTTAGTGTGAATGGGGCCTAAAGTATATGTAAAGCCAACACTTGGATAGAGTAGGCAAAGGTTATAGCTAGGGACGCACCAATACTAATATCAGTGCCAACACCGAGGATTTGGGAAGACTACTCATACTCGCCCAAATCGTCCGATACTTCCCTCCGATACCGGAACTTCCGGTCAGACGGAGATTTCCCTCTGACGGGCAGCACCGAGGGAGCCAGCTTCCTTTCCAATCAGGAAGCCAAGTGGTGGGTTATGTCCCGCCTCCCTGATTGGCTAGGACGCCGGCTTCACTTGTTGCCAGACAGCCTGGCTTCCTAACCAATCAGGAAGCTGGGCGGCACATAATGACCCACCTCTGATTGGTCAGGAAGCCAGGCTTCCTAGCAACAAGTGAAGCTAGCTTCCTAGCCAAGCAGGAAGCGGATCATGATGGGCCGCCCGGCTTCCTGATTGGTTAGGAAGCCAGGCTGTCTAGCAACAAGTGACAGGCCGGGAACAAGTGACATTGGCTGTGAAGCCGGCTTCCCGGCCAATCAGCATGAAGCCAGCTTCCTGGCTCCATGTTCCCTCGCAGCACTGCCAGTCAGAGGACATCTCCCTCTGACCGGAAGCTCCAATATCAGGAAAGGTATCGGGAGCATTTGGACGAGTACTCGCCCAAATACTCGGCATCAGAACCGATACTAGTATCGGTATATCCCTAATATTTACTATTGGCTCACTTTATGGATGAACAGGAAACGGCTCAGTAGAGACTTCCTGCCCATTCATGACTGGATTAATAGTAAATCATTACCATCTCCAGATTGTGAATGAACAGGAAGCCTCCGTACTGAGAGCTTCCGGTTCATTGAGTGCCGGGGGCTGCAGAAAAAGAGATGAAAGGACTCAAATCTCTTTTTCCATTTTAAAAAGGGAAATATCAGGGGCCTGTTTAGATTTCCCCAAAGCCCCCCGACAGAAAAAGAAAAAATTAAAAAAGGTTGGGGAAAAAAAAGTAATTTTTGGGTTTCAACAAATTTTGAAATTTCGGTCTAAAAATTTAATTTCTTTGCATCCATGCTTTGAACCATTATACACTATATGGAAGAGCAGCAACCAAAGTCCAAGCCTCTACCACCCAATGTAAAGCAGTCCCAATTTTCTATTGCACTATAAAAAAAATATAGAACATGTCACGTTTGGCTGGTGGTGGTGCTGCTTGTCACATGTGATCACTGTAATGAATGGGATCGTTACACATCGGGTTTAAGGTTGCAGCGCGATCCCATCCATTGCATCACATGACATGTGACAAGCAGCACCACCTGCCAAAACAAGACATGCTCTGTATTAAGGATGCACCAATACCGATACTGTGCCGATATCGAGTATTTGGGTGTGTACTCGTCCAAATGCTCCAATGCCTAGCCCGATACTTCCTGTATCAGGAAGCCGGGCAGAGCGTCATTACACGCTGGCCGTTTTCCTGACTTGCCAGGAACCGGCTCCATGCTCCCTCGTCACGTGATGGGAAGGTGGCCAATCAGGAAGCCGGACAGCGGTCGGCATTCTGATTGGCCTGGGAAGCTGGCTTCAGGAGCATGGAGCCGGCCTCCCGGCCAATCAGAAAGCAGGGCGTCATTACACGGCAGCCGGCTTCCATGATTGGCCGGCCAGCTGGCTCCGGAGGAAGGCCGCGTTCTGGCTGGAGAGGCCCCGGCGGGTGACAGGCTGGACATACCAAGGTAAGAGGGGACAGACTTTCTTGTTAAATCGGGAAGCCGGGTGGCGAGTCTTTACACGCTGCCCGGCTTCGTGAATGGGACTTCCGTTACTGGGTAATTGGTATCGGCGAGTACCGATAATTATTTTTCGGTACTCGCCGATACCAATTACCGAGTAACAGAAGTCCCATAAAGTGCATCCCTATTTTTTTGCCACACAGCGATGCAAACCATCATGTCAGCTGCAATGTATGCAGCATGGTTCAGACATGGTGCTGACATTGCAGCAGGTGACCAGGGGGTGGTAGGAACACAGATTGGCCGCCTGGTTTTACCGATCCCCTGCCGCCCGTGTGAACGAGGCCAAACAGTATAAAACGAGAGCAGCTGAGGACTCTGGGACATCAGGAAGAGATCCACACAAGGGAACATTAAAACCGGTGGGAAATCCCCCCAGCAGCCCCCCCACTTCACCATGTAGCTTTGGTACAGTCAGTCATATTAAGCCCCTCCCACACATTGAACCACTCCTGGCTCCACCCTTTTAGAGAAAGGGGGCAGTCACATCATTAACGTTTAATTAACGGATAATGCATTAAAACTGCATCTATAGGCCCATTTATAAAGAGTTTTGAAGACGGGCAGAGCCATCGCTCCGCTGCTTCAGAGAAGAGCAACGAATTGCAGATACCATCTCATAGAAACTCCTCCTCAAACATACATCCAACCCTCACCGACTCATCTCACTTCCACGTGCCATCAAATCTCCTCCCGGCAGGAGCCGAGCTGCTCCTGCCCCTTCCACATGCAGACTTCCCATCTACCTTCTCTAAAGGGCAGAATATCATACACCGCCCAAATGTCCAGCAACATGCCACGGTCGCCAACTTGGAGGTCCCGAGGAGTCCCGTTCTTCATGTCTAAAGCTTCCTCCCACTCCCTCACCATGTGCCGAGCGAGGAAACCAGAAGCCAAAAGCCTCGGGGTGGTTCTTCCACATCATCCTGAGCCTGCAGAGGACCATTGTGAAAGCAGTTCCTCTTACTTCCATTGTAGTCTGTGTGGTGGAAGCACCAAGGAGGCCGTTTGACCAGATTCTACCATCGCCATGAGCAGACATCTTCACGGAGAAGTCCAGCAGCACGTTGTCCCAGCCATTGGAACAGATCTCTGGAGACTCCCTGCCGAGTTTTGTGACCGCGCTCCCGTTCTTGGGTTCTAAGGTGCCGTTTGAACAATCGATTAACAATGCTGGAGGAGAAATCAAAGAAAAAAAAAAAAGTCCTGGTGAGGGAACCGAGCGTTCCTTATCCATAACTCGTCTTAGGTCGCTCACCATGGATACAAGTCCCTGACAGCAGCCGAAGCTACAGAAAATGACAACAACTGATTGAGGTTCGTCGTCTTGCTTGGTTCATTGCGTCGTTACTCTAATGAAACCTCTTTCTGGTCACGTGGCTGCCCTCGCCATCAAGAAGTCAGTTCTGGTACGTGCTGGAGGTACTCAACTACTCAAAGTGTACAGAAAACAAGCTGAATATAGTGTGACCCAATGAACACGCCGAGCATCTTGAAAAATTAAATACGGTTTCCATTGGGAACCATGATGGCGCTACCACATGACTAAACAGAGCCAACAGTACACGGATAAGAGAACTTGGGTGTGAGACAACTTGCATACGAGATGTGGAATCTTCAGGCCTACAGTATCCATAAAGTCTGATGGACATCTCCAACTCTGATGCAGAGTCCTAGGTAAAAGAGGGCAGTAATGTGCTGATTGACAATCTCTCGTAACGTTAAGGGAAGTAGGCCGTAGCGGGATCACATGTGAAGGGTAATGAAGTATCTCCGAAAAGAAGAATGGTGAGGGAGTGGGAGTTGACCTCCCCTTGCAAGGAGAAATGTCCAGAAGAAGCCCCCCTCCCGCCCTCCCCATACACCACGTAATACACGATTATCCACTTTTTGAGTCTGAAAGCCGCATCTGCAGGTGATGCTGGGGAGGGGTATGTCCTCCTCCTCCCTTGCCAGATGCTACCTGCCGAAAAAAGGGAGGTTCTGGGGACTGAGGAGAGTGCTGCTCCTTGGAGACTCTGTCCGAGCCATGACATCCTGAAACCAGGAGGCTACGTCCACCTCTTGTGTCTCGTACTGACGCAAGAACTGGTGTTCCTACAGGGAGGAAGGACAAGGCGTTACAAGGTTTCATGGGTGGTTGCACTGACCGATATCTTAAAACTACCCTGAATGAAGTATATACAGCTTTTGCCAAAGCAAACTAGCTATCGTACTTTCATTGAGTTGGCCTATTTAGGTCTTCATTAAAACCCACATACACTGGTCTTTCCTTCTAAACTGCCACTGAACAGACGGATATGCCCTTTCAGATCTCTACATAAAGGAGCAGGCAGGTAGGACAAGTCTTCAGTCTTATCTACTCTTTAAGAGGACAGTAGACACCCTATGGCAAGCACTGAAGGCCCAGCACCCCTCTCATTGAAGGCCCTTTCACATCTACACTGTAGGGTGGAAGGTTCATAGAGTATCACACCAATATGAGCTTGTTGGACATCCCATTGTAAAACCACAGGCATGAATATGGAGCTGCCCTTTGTGGAAGGTAGCACAGGCACCTTAATTCATTCACCATGAAATGTGTAAATAATTCCTGTTCTAGTTACATAATCCCATCCTTAGTTTCAGGAAGCCTTCATAGGCAATTCACACCGTTGAAGGTCTAAAAAATAGATTGTGGCCTTCAGCCATGTGACCCAAATTATCGTCATCTATGCAGACTACTTGGCGCCAAGGATGTGGCTATGTAAGTAGAAGGGGGGTCCACAACTTTCACACCTCCCATCCTGTTCTTGGACAATAAACATGTTCACATTTCATGCTGATTGGATGGTGATGTCTGGGCATAAATGTTGGGGTATCTTTCTGGTATGGTGGGGTATATTCCTGATTTTGTGTGGATATAAATGTTGGGGTATGTTCTTGGTATGGTGGGGGATATAAATGTTGGGGTATGTTCTTGGTATGGTGGGGGATATAAATGTTGGGGTATGTTCTTGGTATGGTGGGGGATATAAATGTTGGGGTATGTTCTTGGTATGGTGGGGGGTATAAATGTTGGGGTATGTTCTTGGTTTGGTGGGGATATAAATGTTGGGGTATGTTCTTGGTATGATGAGGGTATAAATACTGGGGTATGTTCCTGGTATGTTGGGGTATGTTCTTGGTATGGTGGGGATATAAATGTTGGGGTATGTACCTGGCATGGTGGGGTATTAATGATGGGATCAGAAAAGTAAAATCTAATAAGCTCCATCATGTGATCTGAACTCCACCCAGCTACTTACCATAAGCTTATTATACTTTGGCCTTTTTCTGTGATCCTTAGTGAGACTGCAGAGGAGGGGAGAGGAAAACAATTGTTAGCAAAACAGATATTTTCTGCCCACAAATCCAGTAGAGAAGCATATTACAACAGTTATGACACGCCTGACAATACAATAAACTTTATTTACAAAAGGTGTCTAAGTACAGGTCATTCAAACTTTTTGCCTGCCAACCCAACCTTTTATTTGCCATATGCCAAATATTCCGATTTGTCGGCTGACCACTGATGGTGGGAGTTAGTTCTGGCATAAAAATGACCAGAGAATAGAACATCTGCAGAGCAAACAAAAAAAATAACCCCTGACCCCTGGCAGAGATATGAGAGGTGTACCCTGACCCATGGCAGAGATATGAGGTGTACCCTGACCCCTGGCAGAGATATGAGGTGTACCCTGACCCCTGGCAGAGATATGAGGTGTACCCTGACCGCTGGCAGAGATATGAGAGGTGTACCCTGACCCATGGCAGAGATATGAGGTGTACCCTGACCCCTGGCAGAGATATGAGAGGTGTACCCTGACCCATGGCAGAGATATGAGAGGTGTACCCTGACCCATGGCAGAGCTAGAAGAGGAGTAAATTGACCCCCTGACCCCAGGCAGAGATATGAGCGGTATAATGACCTATGATAGAGATTAGTGGTACAAACAAATGTATATAGATGAATGGAAACATGTAAAACTGGAAAATATGATTTTACAAATGTATTATGAAATGGCTTATAAACATGTTGATGAACAATGTATCATGTATTTACAAATAGATTTATACTGATCCCCCTGAAGAAGCCTATGAGCGTAACGCGTAGGGGACTAACAAAGCAATACAACACTGCATATGAAAATCAAGGAATTATGAATATACAATTATATACAAAATATTATGAAATGTGAAAAGTAGTAATAATTTTAGGGTTATAAGAATCATGTGTATATATATGAGCATTGTTTTTAATATTTACAATTATGTAAATCTTTTATATGAACATCAACAAAATTGTACGAATTATAACTATATGAGTACCCTCAAAAAAAACCCTGCACAACCCAGGTTGTATATTGTGTAGTTTTTTGACTAAGTTTGGGGTGAGGCCTCTAATCACCTGGGGGAGTACTTTGGGAAGTGCCTGTTTTGGAAAGAGATTAGAGGTATACACTGACCCATGGCTGAGATATGAGAGGTATAATGACCCCAGTGCCGTCACAGTACAGAACTGGTAGATTCAGGAGTTAGCTATTAACCCTTTTACTGCCACGAACAGAAGTACTATGTCAGGGCCCTGTAAACTGACTCCCGGCTTCTAGAGTCA